TAAACCAAAGATTGTTCTCAATATCGTTGATACCTTCTGATGTGCCTCAAGCTCCTGTATTAGGACCTATTCCATTTTTAATTTTACTTTTGATTTAAAAAAAACTGTTAATAACTCCCTTATTCAGTCATTTGCAGATGATATTCAGTTAATGCTTAGTTTTAATCCAATTGAGGCAGCAAGTACAAAAAAAAATTTACAAAGCGACAATTTGATACAATTTTCTTCTAATCAGAATCTGAAAACAAATTATTGTTTTGTGATGAAAAAAAATTGCTGCTTCATCTCACTCAAATATTTCCATAACTAATCAAGTTTTAGAGTTCGTTAAGTGTTCAAAAATACTTGGAGTAGTTCTTGACATTAAAATGAAGTTTGTTGAACATGTGAAGAGTGTGTCCCAAAAAACGTACTCTTATAGCAAATCGATATTTGCTGAATTTTAAACTTCGTAAAAAACTAGGCCATAGTTTAGTAGTATTTGTCCTAAATACTGTGGTATTTGATTTGTCTATTTACCATCTTTGGTTTGCTTTACCAAAAACATTATCCAAATCATTCAAAATAATTGTGTACGGTTCATTTTTGGATTACGAAAATTTGATCATGTCTCAGCGAATTACCAAATGTCGATGTGGATGAAATTTGAGAATTTAGTAAATCACCACTACCAATATTTAATTTTCATACATTGCACAAGTCAAAGCCCTTATACCTCGGAGAAAACATTGTTTTTAGTAAGTACGTGTACACTGGACCTTTAAGACACAAAATTATAAGAGTTCCATTGCATAACAAGACATCCAGATATAATTCAATACCAGAAGTGTACAAAAGATATTCTTTGTCAACATTCCGCCAGAAAATTAAAGTGTTTTCGTACTCACCATCCACTTAATTTTACAGTTTCTATATACAGGGTGTCCGCAAAGTTGGGGTTGTCCTTTTCTGAAACAACTACCCTTGAAATAACAAAGGTAATGTGTAGTGAAACGAGGGCGACCAAGTAAAAAAAAATAAAGGAAAAAGTACTCACTCTCCAGTTGACGAGAAGGGCTAAGTACGTCTCTGCCCTAAATCATACCGCTCCAACAGAGAATGAAATCAGCTGATGCGCTACCGAGCACACGCAGGCGGTGGTGCAGACCACGAACAGAGGTAACAAATATGACGGCGTTGCCGCGTTGTCAGTTTTTAGGTAAACATACTTTATAGGTATTGTTCGAAGTTATCGCCGTTTGATTCAAAAACACAGGTGCGTGCACGACGTAGCCAAGCATCGGTGCAGGCTTTGAGAATGGAGTCCCTCCCCCGAATGAAAGCACCAGCTTGTTCAATTCTGAGACGAAGTTCGTCAACCATATGCACTTCAGTTTTGTACACTAAGCGTTTCATTTCTCCTCAAAGAAAAAAATGACGTTGTGTTAAGTCTGGACATCGCGGAGGCCACGCTACGGGTCCATTACGTCCGATCCACCCATTCGGAAATAATTCATTCAAAAACTCACGCACTTCGCGTCTAAAATGGGGCGGTGCACCATCGCGCAGAAACTACTTTGATTGTCTTACACTTAATGGCACATCTTCTAACAAGGAAGGCAAAATGTTGCGTAAAAAGTCTAGGTATTGCATCCCGTCCAATCGATTTGGGAGAATAAATGGTCCAATGAGCATACCGTTCACCATGCCAGCCCAAACATTCACCGAAAATGTTTGTTGAAAATGTGCCCGACGGACAGCGTGCGGATTTTCTACTGACCAAACATGAGTGTTGCGAAAGTTATTCACCCCATTACGCGTGAACGTAGATTCGTCTGTCACCAATATGCACTTCAAAAAGTCCGGATTATTGTCATGTTGATGCAACAACCACTCACAAAACCGCACTCTTGCTGGAAAATCGTCAGGTTGAAGGGCTTGTACACTTTGGACGTGAAACGGATACAGCCCCTCTTCACGCAGCGTTTTCCACACTTTAGTTTTTGATACTTGCACTTCTCTAGCCACGTCTCTAGTGCTTGTTGAATGATTCTCGTCTACGCGATTCAGTAGTTCTTCCTCAACTTGCACCATTCGTGGTAGTCTAGGCCTCCCACTGTGCCCACCTCGAAATTCCTCCAAATGGCCCGTATCCCTGACTCTCTGGACCAGGTACACAAATCTGCGGGGCCTTGGATGATGTCGTCTTGGGAAACGATCTGCATACACTCGCGAAGCCTCTGTAGCATTTTAAAGACATTCGAAATAAATTAACAACATATCAACGAGTTCATTATTGGTGTATTAGTGTGCCATTATTATTTTTTTTTGAAACGCAATCGATTATACCGGTTCGTTTACACGCGTGACCGTAACCGTCGGTTGAAGGTTGCATACTGACCTGACACACTGACCCCGACCCAGTTCTGTCGTCGGGTTGAGCCAGTGACCTTGTACCACTCGGTGATGTCGCGGGTCGCGGCTACAGGACGGTATTCAGATATGTTTGATGTTGCAGAGCCCTTTATCTCGGTTCCCTTAAGACATTGGTGTATATGGTACTAAGAAAAATTGCTTATGTTTTCAAGATCTACACGTCGTGTAAAGGAAAACCCCAACTTTGCGGACACCCTGTATAGAGTATATACATATATATATACAGGGTGACTTCGAAGTTGAGTCATTTATTTTAACAGTGAGTAGATCTGATCAAAAGAAATGTTTTTTTCCTTTACCATTTTCCTGGTAAAATTAAAGTAACAAAGTTATAGCCCTTTGGAAGTTTGAGTACCGCCCTGTCTCAATAACAATATTATGTGGTCGTGTTTGGCGACAATGGATATAATCCGCCGTATCGGTTCATCGCATCGGAAACAAAAAAGCGAAAGAATTTGGAACGATGTTTTTACAGGTATCTCATTCATTTGTATACAGTTAGTGTCAGTGAATAGTGGTATGTGTTGCGTGGCTCAAACGAAATAAAAAATGGCACATGTTTATGCGGATCGGTTTCCCAATCGAGTGCAACCAACCCCTCGTGCCTTTGTTAATGTAGTACAACGGGCTCGTGAATCAGGTGACTTAAGACCTCACAGGGGACCTCACGATCAAATACAGGTCCGCACTGAAATACTTGTCGGGAGGATACTTTATAAAACAAGGTAAATTTTTTTTTTATTTTTACACACATATTTTGGTTTATCTTCCTTCTACAATCATTATCTGAAAATTAATGACTCAACTTCAAAGTCACCCTGTATATATATATATATATATATCTCAAGTCTCAAGTTACAAAAAATATATATATATATATATATGACGTATTGTAATTCTTGATTGACTGATTGTTTTGTATGTTTTTTTTTCAGGCAATGTATAAATTTCTGTATTGTGTTACCAATCGCTAACTGATTGTTTAAGTGTGAGAGTAGCAAATGCTAAACTTCGCCAATCAATTAGTTTGTAAATGAAGACGACTATTATTATGTAAGTGTATTTACACCCAAGATAGAATGGATGCGTGATTGCCAAAAGCAAGGACGGCGTACAGGGCCGCATTCAGGGCTACCTCCAAATGATGGACTACCACCAACGTGTTGTAAAACAAAGATGACAGTATTTAACAGAAACTTAACAAATTACTCAAATACACTTAACAACAACAACAGCAACAACCAATCAAGGTGAATACGAAAACACGGGCACGTAGTGATACACGCGACGGACGGTGGCCTGAGTGCAACTCTGCCTGCCCTGCCTCTACCCCGCGCATTATTCCGCCAGGCGACCGCTTGAAATTTAATGGCGAATTGACCAATAACAGGCGTTGTCCCCACCTGTTACCGAGAGATCACGCGCTAACTGTTATTATTTACATCTCATCTTGAATTTGGATTCAGTTTTTTTATGTACATTTACACCGGTGTTCCGCAGTGCTCGGTTTCAGCCCCATCATTATTTGTTATACATTAATGAGATCACTAAGAACGTTCTTTATTTAACTAAACTAGCCGCGAAAGTTGGGAGCCAGAGGCTTGAGATTGCCCATTATGGAGGAGTCATCTGTCAGTCGGAGATACTTTTTCTGGAATTACTCTTTACAATCTGTATCTGTACATATATATTTACGTAACACACCTTGCTGGCACTCAGACTTCTTTGAATGCTTTATTTTCGTAGGGACAAATACTCGAAAGTAAAAATAGATACGCGCTACCTATATCCTACATCCGTACTATAAATACTTTAATGATATTAGTCCCATTTACATGGCAAAGTTGAGAGCACTTGTCATGAAAAAACAGTAGTCTTTATGTGTATGTGCTGTAGTGCGGTGTGTCTCAGATGGTGGGGAACTTGTTTAAGTGTTTTTTTTTTTCGAAGTTATTGAGTAGTGTTTGTTGTTGTGGTTGATAATTTTAGACCAGGACATCTAGAATTTGAGATAAAAAATTGTAATAAGGTGTTTTACAACGGATTTATATTCTTGGGGGATTCTCATCGCCGAGATATACAAAGATTTTGCTGGATAACTTTTTTATTACACGACGAAGTTGGAAATACCACATTTTCGCGTATATTCAAATAGTTATGAACTATTAGTGTAAGTGGTCGGTTAATTTTTTATTACAAAAAATGCGAGAAATCGCCAATTTCCTTATTAATTTTTTACTTGAAAATGCATAACAGTAAATCTGAAATAGTAGTCAAAATTTGAAGCATTTGTGGTGCTCGACACCCAGAAGAAAAATTCATTCAAAATCGCTAAATCGTTTTTGCAACTGTTACTAATTTTTTTCAAAAAGATTGCCTTTTACGACGAGCTGTCCACCAACTTTGGATCAATCAAATGCCCTCACATTGGGATAATTCTTTTGCTAGAGACTAAGTTTATTATCTTATAGTACATTTATTTTGCTTATAAACAATTAGAACAAGTCCGTTGTTTTTTATTAGGATGCTCAGCACGGAAAAGCTGATGAAAAATACACACTTTTACGAAAAGGGTACTTATTCTAATTGTTAACACGTTCACTGCGACCTGCCTCGCGCCGCGCGCACGGTAGCGGCTAAACGATTTTAAGCGCTGCACAAGCGAAGCGCGGATTCGCGTCGTAAGCCTATTGGATGTGAGTTGTGTAATTGAAAACTATTTCATATATACATTTTCTTCTTCTATCTCGTTTTTTTTTTTTCGTGCAGTAACACGAAACATGTCTTGAAACCCTATTAAAGATTTTTCTGTGGGCTGGAAAAATCATCACTCGTTTCAGACATATTTCCATCAGACTGCTCACTTCCATCTGAACTGGGGACATAATTGTCTAAGTCACTTAGATTCTCGATTTCACTCCCCGAATTGGCAAGAATATCATACAGTTCTTTTTCTGTAAGCCCTTTATTACGGTTACAATACGTTTTCACTCGTTTTGGACGTGAACAACCTGCTTCCACATCATCCGCCATTGCGCAATCTAAAAATAAACGAAGCTTGATCCTACGCATAAAATAGTCCAAAAAGATGTTCAATATGTAGGTGACCAAACAGGAAGCGAGTGCGGTACAAACTGACAACACCACAGTCTTGTGAGTTTATATCAGCCAGAAGCGGATCCGCGCCCGCCGCCTTTCGTTAAACATCGGTCGGACGCGGATCAGCGTCTTTCGCAGTGAACGTGTTTTAATAAGGCAAAAATAGATGTGCCATATATGGTAATGCATTTTCCAGTAAAAAATATAGATATCGACGATTTCTGACGTTTTATTGGAATAACAAATTAACAGAATTGTAAAGTATCATTTTCAAGTTATTTTTATCCACTACAAATTTACACCAATAATTTGTAACTACAAGCCCTGTCTCAGTGAAGTTGGCCCAACTACTGGACAACAAATTTTAGTTTTTTAATTGTATCTAGTGGGAAAAGTGCACTTCTTTTTTAATTTTGGGGCGCTGAATCCAAAAATGACAATGAAATAAAAAAAATAGTTGCCGTTTAGAAAAAACTTTTTATTTTTAAGGATATATTAAAAAAGTAACAAGATTCATATACTTATAAGAATCACTATATGCGCTGTCTTTTTGCTGTTCTTTTATGGATCGTTTCTGGAGCATCTCTAGCAAGAGTCCAACAGTAGTCTGCAAGCATGGAAGGATTCCACTTTCCCTGGTACCTTTTTTCCATTGTTGAAATATCCTGATGAAAACGTTCGCCGTGCTCATCACTTACGGCTCCGCAATTGTCTGGAAAAAAGTCCAGGTGTGAGTGTAGGAAATGTATCTTAAGAGACATATTACAGCCCATCTTTTGATACGATGACAGCATATTTTTGACAAGGGTTTTATAGTTGTTAGCTTTTCTATTTCCCAAGAAATTAGTGACCACCAGACGGAAATCATTCCAAGCAGTTTTTTTAATACCTGTTAAAGTGTTTTCAAACTGTGTATCTTTCAAAATATTTCGAATCTGTGGCCCAACAAAAATACCTTCTTTAACCTTTGCCTCACTTAGTCTTGGAAATTTCTGACGCAGGTATTGAAAAGCTGACTCATCTCTATCTAATGCCTTGACAAAGTTTTTCATTAGGCCCAACTTGATATGCAGTGGTGGTAATAAAATTTTTTTCGAATCTACTAATATATATACATTTTTTTGACCTGGCTCTAGGAATTGACGAACAGGTCAGTTTTGTCTTTTGTAATGAAGTGCCTTTGCCCGACTGTCCCATTCACACAAAAAACAGCAAAACTTTGTGTAGCCTAGCTGCAGCCCAAGTAAAAGTGCACAACTTTCAAATCGCCACAAATATGCCATTGGTGCTCATCGTATTTTATGCATGTCAATAGGTACTTCATATTGTCATATGATTCTTTCATGTGAACTGCATACCCTACAGGAAGATATGGTAAAATATTTCCAATATGCAATAACACTGCCTTTAAACTCAATGTTGAACTGTCTATAAACAATCTCCATTCTTCAGGGTTATAGTTTATATTTAAAGCCGCCAGTAAGCCGTTAATGTTACTGCAGAAAACCAAGTTATTCTCCATATTGAAAAATGGTTCTAAGTCTTTGTGGCGTTTACGAAAAACACATACCGAAACATCGTCTTCTAACAAGTTCCACTGCTGCAGTCTTGATCCAAGTAACTCTGCCTTACATTTTGGAAGTTCTAAATATCTTACAAGATCATTTAATTCTGTGTTATCTTGTGCGGTTAGTGGCATGACGTGCTCGGTATAAAATCAGGATCTCTTGACGTTGATGGCATATCTTCTTCCTGACGAAGCACGCGATCGCCATGATCTGATTCGTTTTCTGATTCGCAAGTGTAGGATTCTGGGGGTTTTGGAATAGGATTTTCGTCACTGTGAGGCACAGGTCTCATCGCAGATGGCATGTTTGGGTAGTTAATAACCGATTATTTTTTCTTGGACGTACCTGTGACTTGTCCAACACAAGGTACCATGCAAAAGTAACAATCATTAATATGATTTGTAGGCTCTCTCCAAACCATTGGGACAGCAAAGCGCATAGACCGTTTTTTGCCATTTAACCAGCTCCTCAGACTTGAAGCACATGTATTACAGCAGATGTGGGGTGCCCACTGTTTGTCTTGATCACCTAGTTTACCACCGAAATAAAGCTGATATGCCTTTGTTATTAGTGGAGTAATAGACCGTCTCTGAGACGCAAAAGTCACATCACCACACACGTAACAAAACTGATCTGGATTGTTTACACACTTTCGAGACATCTTGCATGAACGCTGTCAGCCAGAATGGCTAATATAAAACAATATAATGTACACGTATGTATAACGTAACACAATCATGCCGATTACATCATCTTTCCTTGCCGAATATAAAAATGTAGCACGTGCATTCTTGTGAATTACAGTATATTAACACTGTCACAGCAGGAACACATATAATTACCGTATCTCTAAAACTTGAACTAATATTGAAAAAATAAGTTTCATTCCGGTTTTAGCACATTAAAAATAGTAATATTTTGTTGATTTTATTTAGGATATTTTTTGGCTGTTGATCAGTGATCAAAACTACATTTTTTATGAAATTTGTCATATTAGCGGAAACGTAGATATTAAAGACTAAAATGTATTTATGATAAGATCCGATATTTTTATTTAATATTAACCTAAAAGAACTACATTTTTTGTGTAACAAAAAAAATATCTCACAAACTGCCAATTAATTAACGAAACCGGCAATAGCAGCAAATCCCCGCTGTGTTACATCGCCTTTTCGACTGATTGCTGATTCGAATCGTCTTGACATAGTGTCTAATGTTTGGCAGTCATCTGGTGTAAAACTGTTCCAAATTTCTTGGAGACGGGTTTGCAATTCTGGGACGGTTCTTGCGGGATTCGATCGGAGCTTTTTCTTCATGATATGACACAAGGTTTCAATCGGCGATAGATCTGGTCTGCTCGACGTCCATTTTAAAACTGAAATATTGTTTTCTAACATCAAATCTTTTACTTTTTTAGCCGTATGGCACCATCTTGTTCGAAGATACGTTCAATATTGTTTAAACACATTTGTTCAATTTGGGGTATTAGGTAATTTTGAAGCACATTAACGTACGTATCAGCATTCATAAATACCTTCCACAAAGTGTAAGTTTCCCACTCCACTTGCTGACATGGATCCACAAATCATAACAGAAGCCGGAAGCATAACTTTTTTAAACAATCATTCTGAAACACTTCTTCTTTAGTTCTTATGACACGACTTCTACTACCACCAACGCATACTGTCAAATCTGGCTTCATCACTCCAAATAATGGAGTTCCATTGGTTCGGAGACCTTAGTTGGTGTTCTTTGGCCCACGCTACTCTGTTTTTCTTCTGAATCTTTGTCAGTAATACTGAATTAAAAAAGAATAATAAAAAATAATTTAACCCTACCTTGTAAGTTTTAAATTCCAGTTTTTTGGCAGCTCTGTGACAAGTTGCTCTTGGAAACTTTTTTGTGCTTGCCTGGTTCCATAATATTTTCAATTCGTTATAATCAGTATGCCGATTTTCCGTAATAGTCCGTTTTAAGGCTCTTAAGTTGGTATTGGAATAACGCGGGCGACTTCCAGTTCTGGGGTTTTGAGCCACAGATCCCCATTGTTTTGTACAATTTACTAATATTTCGAACTGTATAACCTCGATTTGTTGACACTGTCAGCGATTTGGACCTTTTAAATGCAAGTGCATGATCACTTTTCCTATTTCGTCAGAAACATATTTACCACAACCCATTTTTAATTGTTAACAACAGCACAATGCATTAAAAGTAGATTTAAACGTCAAAAATCAGCTTCTTAGCAACGTAAAATGTTTTAATTTATTCGACAAAGCCTACCTTTATTGTATCCAAGCGAATAAACAGACCATTCAACTAGACTTTTCTCCATCGTGTATTTTGCTATACACAAATAATTTTGCAACGAAGATAATTTCGAAATAATAACGCTTTAAAAATAGCCGCGTCGGTTTTGTTATCTTTCCATAAACATTTAATGAAACAAAAAATATTAAATTTGGAATAAAATTTTAATTAGCCCTCAATTAAACTCACAAATATCATGTGTTTTGGGGCGTTGGGTCAACGTCACTGAGCATATGTGAAAAAAAATTTTTTTTCAACTTTCATTTTGAAAAAAGTTATCCAGCAAAAGTGTTTGTATCTCTCGATGAGGAGCCTTATCTTCCCCAAGAATATAATTCCGCTGTAAAAATGCTTATTACAATTTTTTCTTAAACGCGGTCGAGTTTAGGCTAGTCAGCTTGGTATATTTCGTGACAGGTGGTCTCAAACCTCCTCCTAGTCCTCTGCTACAGTTTTGTGAGAATAACTTATTAACCGAAGCTCTCATATAATATGGTATCGCCGTATTCTAGACCTGCTAAAGGCAATCGCTAGGCTTCTGCTTTCCCTTCTCACCCGACCAAGTTCCATATACAATATCAGAAAGTCAGTAGAAGCAACCTTTCTTCCCCAGGTATCGAAAATATGGAATAATCTACTAGAAGAGGTTCTATATTTCTTCTGTCCACGATTAATTCAAAACTCATATAAACATTCATTTAAACTTTTTTATATTTTATACATTTCACTTAAATGTCCAATTATCCAAATACAGGGTGTTGTAGATTTCCATGCCACTGATGAGACTAAATAAGAACAAGGCGACTATCTTCTGTATATTTCCAAAGTAGGAAAGGAAGACATTTTTTAGATGAATTTCACCCCAAATAATAAACCAATTTTTATCCAGTCTGGCAAGTATTTTCCAAGATTCATGCAAAATGGAGTGTCATTCAAGTTGTTTGAAAAAAGTCAGTAGCGTAGAAAATATTTGTTTTTCTGCAGAGGTCAAAATTTCCCAATTGCTACGCCACCGGGATAGCCCGACCGAAAAAGTTCTGTATGCATAAGTCAATACCTAATTTCTATACATAGATATTTCTTTTTCTTTGAATTTACAACTTTTCTGATTCACCCATACAAATAAAATAAATACTACATTCTTTAATTTTTGGTTGGCATGATGAATTTATCTTTCGTTAATTTTAAACAGATAATTGTGAGTAAAGATAAAAAACCTTACTCAAGGCAAATTATTATTATATTCATATGCCATTCATTTTATTTCTATACACTATTGATCGCAGTCTAATAACTCGAAATCGGGACATACGCAATTATAACAATTATGATTCATGTAATATTATTTAATATATAGTGAGTATATTTGCATTTATGAATTGAGAAAATTATATGAAATAAGCTTCACGTAACTTATAATTGTCCTAGAGACCGTTTACCGCAAAAAAATACAGAGTCGAGATATACTTGTCATCCTGACCAAAGCCTATCAAAAAGAGATAT